CTCTCTCTCTCTCTCTCTCTCTCTCTCTCTCACACACACACACACACACACACACACACACACACACACACACACACACACACACATGCGCGCGCCAATGGGATGTCTTGCGCAATTTAGATAGGGGTTCTGATTCGGAGTAGCCCTCTTCCTCCGATGAACAACCATCTTTCTCGTCGCCTTCGCCTTCGTCCTCCTTGCCACTGCCATCAGTCCCATCCCAGCCACCACTCCCGTCGTCACCATCGCTGCCGCCATCACTTTCATCAGCGCTGCCACCACTTTCATCGCTGCTTCCTCCTCCTCTTGCACGGGCTGCTTCTGTGGTCGTCCCCACTTTCTTGTGACACGTGCGGGTGCAGGACCTTCTGCCAAATTGCCACCTTCCACGTCCTGAGCCTCCTCATCACCTGTCCCGCCTCGAGTTCCAACCTCCTTCCGAGGTCTCCCTCTCCCTCGTTTGGCCGGGATCGAGGGCGGTGCACATGCAATTGCCCCGGCAGCTTTGTATTTGTTGGCGTGCTCAATGGCCATGGTCCTCGTGGTGTGATCCAACTCATGCAAATGTTGCCGGGCCAAAAACTTGGAAGCCTTTGTGGCCTTCCTCCATGACTCGTTGAGTTGTCTCTCGAGTTCAAGCAGATTGCTGCGCAGCTGATGACGTTGGATTGTGACCTCCTCTGGAATAGGCATTTGTGGTGCTTCAACGGGATTGTCGTCCTCGTTGAAGCCTGAGTCATCGCTCTCACCTGCATCACTAACCGGCTCTGTTTTGTGCAGCCGGGCACGCCACTCCGCCAACCGCATTCGTGCATCCTTGGCCATCTCATCCCATGTGAGATCTTCCACCGGTTCATCCTCTTCCCATTGCGGTGAATCCTTATCAGCCTTCGGCTTCTTGATCAATGCATCCAACAAACACTGGTTCCATCTGTTGAAAACCAGCATGCTAAGCTTGACAGCACCGAGGTTGTTACGGAGACGGCTATGAATTCGTTCGAACAAGCTCTAGTTCCACTCGCAACAAGAGGAGGAGGACGCTTGTCCAAGTAGACGAACGGCTTGCTTCTGGAGGATGGGCATGTCATTGCACCACTTCCTCCACCACCTCACCGGCTGCATCAAACGGGCCTGTGTCCTTGCATTTTCGCAATTGTGTCCCCCATTGCCCTCAATCCAACAACAAACCTCTGCGTCGACCTCAACAAACGACGACTCTTTGCACCACGAGTAAAGCCACGTCCAAAACTCATCTGCAACCTCTGCATACATTTCTGGCCGCGACGCTCTGTACTCCGGATCCAAGAATAGAGCAGCACAATGTAGCGGTGATGTCATTGCATTCCAGCTCCGCATGATGATCTCCTCGAGTTCGTCCTTCTCCGCTTCGGCAAAGTGCTTGCTCTCCCTTAGTTTCTCCACTGCGCTGTCCATACGGGCATACACCTTGCTAATGGTGGGGCCCGTGCCATCGACCTTCTTCAAAAGTTTGAGCAGATTCTTGGACGTTTGCATCACCTTCTCGACATCTGCCCAGAAGGTGTCATCCAAGACGGAATGCGTCGCCTTCACAAACAGATCGCGCACTGAAGTGTGCACGATCGCTAGCTTCCAGTCCTCATCTGTCACACACGCATGCAGCGGCAAATACAACCCTTGCAGGCTTGACAACATGATGAAGTTCATGGCAAACCGGGTCGCGCCCGGTTTTGACACTACACCGCCATTGGAGTAGTGGATCAGGAGGTCCCGCACCCGCAAATGGTTCGTGAAGAACTTTGCAAGCTCCGATGCCCTTTTCATAATCGCACCGACCCACCCGATCTTCGCGAAAGACTTGAACATCAAGTCGAGGGAGTGTGTTGTGCACGGGACAAAGAAGATGTGAGGGTAATTTGCTTCAATCATTCGCCCCGCGGCTGCATAAACAGCAGCATTGTCCATAATGACCCCCACCATTGCCTCCGCACCTATCTCCTCTATTGCCCTCTTCAGAATGTCGTAGCATGCTGAGGCGCCCTTGTTGCGTCGTGACATACACACACTTCTCCAAAAGATGGAGCCTTTAGGGAAGGAGACCATCACGTTGATGTGTGGTCTCTGTCGGCGATCTGTCCAACCATCAAGCTGCAACATGCAGCCAGTGGTTGGCCACTCCTGTCGCAACTCCTCCACCCTCTTCCTAACCCTGCCCCTTGTCACTTCGACCCTCTTCGTCCTTGCGTTTTCGAACTTCGCGTACCTGAAGCCTTTTGGCGCATTCATGAGCGCGTGCACCATTTTGTCCCAGTACTCGCTCTTCATCATGTTGAACGGGATTCATTCAGCCGCCATCCAGTCGTCTATCGTGCGCTGCGTTTGCTTGTGTGCCGTTATGACAATAGCGTTGTCCGTGATCATTGTCTGGCGGAGCCCAACTACAGGCCCCAATGGATCCACAACTCCTGCCGCCGACGTCCGCGGATTCGTCTGGCAGAGCCCTACCACAGACCCTAATGGATCCATAACTCCTCCCGACGCCCGCGGAGCATTCTCATCCTCCGATGACTCCTCCATTTCGGGCTCTCCCATTTTCGCCCCCAACTGGGACCTGGCAGCCGACCTACCCTTCTCCCTCCTCAAGTACTCCTCTTTTGGTATAGTACCTCTGAGGCGCTCAACGTCGCATCTCGACCCCTTGAGGAAATGTTCCTTTGCCCTGCTGGCTGTCCCAGCCACGGGCTTGTCGCAGTAATTGCATACGCGCTTTTTGTTCCCCTTGTCGGCTTGCCCACTGATTCCCACTTCCCTGAAGTGTTTCTTCACGGCCTGGCTACTGCTTTTAGTCATCCTGCAAGCACACAAAGAAAGCGAAAAGAACAACACTTGTTAAAGCCGGTTCACTCCCTGACCCTCAATGCTCTCCCTCATCCACTCTCCATTCACTCCCATGCCCTTAATGCTCTCCCTCCTCCACTCTCAATTCATAAAAATCAACCGTTCAATTAATCAATCTCTCAATCAATTAATCAATCAACCAATCAATCAACCAATCAATCAACCAATCAATCAACCAATCAATCAACCAATCAATCAACCGGTCAATCAATCAATCAATCAATGAAACAGTCAATCAATCAAACTGAATTAATCAATCAATCAATGAAGAGAAACCTTCGTTGATAGATGGATTGCGTCGATTGATTGATCAGTCGATAGGTTGACTGATTGATTTATTGATTGATTGATTGATTGATTGATTGATTGATTGATTGATTGATTGATTGATGGTTTGATTGATGGTTTGATTGATGGTTTGATTGGTTGGTGGATGGTATGATTGACTGATTGATTAATCGATTGATTGGTTTATTGAACTTGATTGGTTGATTGATTGAGCAAGCGATAGAGTGATTGATGGATTCAGTAGCCAATAACCGAACAGTTTCGAAATTTCGACATCACAACAGCACCCCCATTGGGGTCAAATGGTTGCCAAAAACAAGAGTGCCTTTCTAGCAATCAACCGAAGAATCAAGCAATCAATCGCAAACGTAAAAAGATGAAAACGAAAAATAAACAAAAGGTCAGACAAACTCTACGTAACAAATATGGAGGGGGAAAAAAAAAGGAACGAGGATCAAGTTTCGTTCAACGGTTCAACCATTCAAACAAAAAGAAAGAAAGTAGAGAGAGAGAGAGAGAGAGAGAGAGAGAGAGAGAGAGAGAGAGAGAGAGAGAGACTAACTCCTAATCAGATTTGAGGGTGCCGCAAAGATATTTGAATTTTCAGAATAAATAAAAATAAAATAAAATAAATCAGAAAATTATAAAAAAGGTGGGGAATAAGATAATACGAAACTTTTTTTTGGAAAAAGAGGAAATATAAATCAAAAGAAAGATAAAAAGAAGAAAAAACAGAAAAATTTCGAAGTTGGGGGGGGGATGAAAAAGTGAAGGAGAAAAGAGAGAAATAGGTGAGAAAGAGAAAAAGAGTGAAGGGGGGAGAGGTGGGGGAAGTGATGGGGTTGTAGTTAGGGGAGAGAAGGGTGTAGAGGAGGGTGAGAGAATGGGAGAGATAGAAATGGGAAAGGTGAGGAGGGGTAGAAGAGATTAGTAGAAGATGGTGAGTGGAGAGGGGAGGAGAGAAAAAAGGTTGTGGAAGATGAGTGAAGAGGGAGGTAGGAGGAGGGAGTAGTGGTAGCGTTAGAAAGGATGAGTAGATAATGGGGGGGG